GGAGCTGGAGAGGAAGCAGGGGCCAGATGCTGCCCAAGCTAGCCAGCCAGGAGCACAGGGAGTCATTAAGCCCATTTGCATTATCAAAAGATTTCTCATTTCAGGTGAATAGAAGGGATTGGTGGGGCTGTGGGAAGGTGTGGAAGGAGAGATGGAGTCAGTGGGGGAGGCCAGTTGGGAAGCTATTGTGGTAGTCCAGGCAAGAGTTGATGGTGGTAGAGAAAATGGAGAGAAATGAGTGACTTCAAAAACTATTAGGCAAATTTGGCAAGAGCTATTTTCAGGATGTACTGATGGATCAGATGAGGGGGGCAAAGGAGAGAAGCATCAGGATGACTCCTAGATTTCTGGGTGTGAATGGAGGTGGAGCCATTACCTAAGTAGAGTGATGAAGAAGTCCATCAGGCTAGAGGCCTAAAGACAGGGCCAGTTTGGGGCAGACTGAGTTTCAGGTGCCTTACATGTGACTAAAAAGGGGGTCGCAAGTAGACAATAAGAGTCTGAAGTTTAGAGGAAAAGTCTGGCTAGAGATACGCATTTGTAGGTCAATTATTTATTTGTGGTAACTTAAGCTTGGGTGTGAATGAGACTGCGGGAGAAAGTTTAGGGTGAGAGGAGGAGGAGGTTGTCAACAGAGCACAGAAAAGTCAGGAGGAGGCTTTGGCTAGACATAAATGGTCAAGATTTATTCCAGGGTTTTAGTGTATGCAAACCAAAAACACAACTAGGCAGTGCCCAGAGTGTTTTGAAGAAGAAAGAAAAGCTGAGAATTCTTGTAGTAAAAAGTTCATTTTTCACAAGAATCAGTCCTGCATTCTTAGCTTCTAAATTGGTCAAGGATGATAATGAATGTCAGGGGGTCTGGACATGTGAACATTGTTTCCTAAGTCCTTCAGAAGGTAGCCAGAGGATTATCTATAGGAGATAGATATAGATACAGATGTAGTTATAGAGATAGAGATGAGAGAGGGAGATTTTTGGGCATAACTGGAGAGTTCAAAAGTTGTAAGTTCCCAGATTAATTGAAGCAAAAGTAGAATAATTTCCTCATGCCTCAGTCTACTTGATTTTAGTAATTTAGCAGCTTCATTACAGTGACTCCATGTTGTTCTTTATTCTTTCCTCAAAGTGTAGGATCAGGCCTTCAGAAACTCAATATTGAGTCAAGTAGAGGAGTTTGAGATTACAAAGAAGACCTAAGAAACCAAAAGTATTAACAATGGCTATGGAATTCTATGGAAGCATTTTACTTTTATAGTTACTTTTACAATTGAGCGGGAATTTTTAGTTAAGGAAAAAAACCTTTTTATGACTCTTGGACATTAATTAACTCTCTAATTTTAAAAAATAGCACCTGAGGGCAAGAGGTGATATTGTAAATATTTAACTAGCAGGATGTTGGAGTACCAACACTTTGATGGCAGCTGGAGGAGGGAGGGGTCTCAGAGGCCCCTGCCTGCCAGGCATTAACCTTATGGTTTCTGGATCCTGAAGAAGTGAAGAGAAGCTGGGTGGCAGGGCGCTACGCAGACGGGATCTCAGGACAGCAGCTGTTTAGTGATTGAGTAGTACTGGTGCCTGAGCCTGAATATCAGCCTTGCCTAAGGGTCCTCACCAGCTGGATCCCACCAGCAAGTTCCTCCCAGTACTCTCTGCCTGTTCATTGCCCCTTGAGAAAACTCACATCTACCACAGCAATTTGGTCATCATTTCTTGTGAATGCCTTGCCTTTTCACGTCTTCATGACCTTCCCTAAAATGTCTAGAATGCCTTTCTTATCCCTGTTTGGCAATTTCTTTGCATCTTTGAAGGCCAAGGTAAAATATCACATCCTCTGTAAAATCCTCCTTGACTTCCCAAGGTAGAATTAATTGCTTCCTCCTCATTGTTCCATGTACTTTATATACTTTTCTAAATATAGGCCTAGGCTATCTTTTCTCCCAATTTGCTATTTAAAACTCAACAATGGTACTGATACATGCTATGACTTGGAGGAAACTAAAAAACATTATGGGAAGTAAAAGAAGTCAGTCACAGAAGACCACATGGTATATGAGTCTATATATATGAAATGTCCAGAACAGGCAGACCCATAGAGACAGAAAGTAGTAGCTGAGGAGATTGAAGTGAAAAAGAAAGTGACTGCTAAGGGGGTACTTTTTTTTTAATCCTCACCCAAGGATATGCTTACCGATTTTAGAGATTGGGGTGGGGAGGGACATAGGGAGAGAAACATTCGTGTGAGAAACATCAGTCTGTTGCCTCTTGCAGGCCCCCTGACTGTGGACTGAACCCACAGCCTAAGCCTGTGCCCTGACCAGGAATCAAACCTGCAGCCTTTTGGTTTATGGGACGATGCTCCAACCAACTGAGCCACACTGGCCAGGACTAAAGGTTGTTTTTGTTTTTAAGTGATGAAAATGTTTTAAAATGGATCGTAGTGAGTGTTACACAACTCTGTGAATATACTAAAAATCATGGGTTGTACAGTTTAAATGGGTGAAATTTAGGATATGTGTATTGCATCTCAACAATACCATTATTTTAAAAACAGCTCAGCAATATCTCTCACTGGGTCTGATTCAAAGGGAAGGCTCAGAGGTTTCCTGCGTTTCCTGCCAGGGAGGAAGGGAGGAAGGCGGACACACGGGGGTGAATGTGGAGGGATACATGCAGGGGTGTGCAGGTGGAGGGGTTGGTTTGAAAAAAGCCAAGTGTAAGTGGAAATCAAGTTGAGTTCTGATCATAGGATGGGACACAGAATATTTCAGAAGGAGGAGTTCTGGTGAAAACGGAAACCACTTCAATGAAATCAGGTTTCAACAAAAAAGGCTGAGGTTAGCTTGAGAAGGTGGTTTTACTTTGAAACTGATGGCTGAGTGTGGTGTCCTCACTTGGCCTGGGAATCTTTTAAGAGTAAAGAACTATAATCTAGGTAGGGATTGAAATTCTGATATACTTACCCTAGACACCCAAGGAACCTCGAAAGGAAGGCTGCTCTCCTTTCCTCAGTCTGGCCCTGCTGAAAGGTCATAGGTCACAGTGCTTGGCTTGTGCACCCTGGAACCAGCTGCCTGGGTCCGAGCATTGGCTCTGCCACTTACTAGCATTGCCTTGAGCAAGTCACTCAGTTTCTCTGTGCTTCCATTTTCTCTGCTGTAAAATGGGGCTAATGATAACACTTTCCTCCTAGGAGTTTTGTGAAGACTAAGAACTTAGCACGGGTATCCAGTACGTGGTGAGCACTAAAAGAAGGCAGTCCCTAAAGTGAGAGACAGGGTAGTATCTGGAGCCGTGAAACCAATTGCCAGAGAAGTAGCTGATCTCTGCCAGCGCTGAGTGAGGTCCACAATTCAGAGAAGAGGCAGCAGCTGGCTGGGGTCGGGGTGGTGGCTGGGAAGTGATCTGAAGAGAGTTAGCAATGTCATTGCTCAACCCCGCCAGTGGAGCTCCTACTTCCTGTTTTCAGTGTCTGTGAGCCACGATGCCAGAGCTGCTCATGTTGGGACAAGATCTTTCTTGGCCCCTGGGGGGGAAATGCAGAGGTTGAGCAGCGACTCAGGCTGGGCTGGGCCCTTAGCTTCACATGATGCCTTTGCTTTCCTAGCAAGTTTCAGATCCTACAAAACACATCAGTGCAATCCTGGGGAGGAAGGATTTTATAAGAATTTATGTGCCTTTGTAATAACAGCCACCATTTTTGTGCCTTTACTAGGTGCCAGGATTATGCTGAGAGATTTATGAACTCATGAATCCTTATGATAATCCTGGGAGGTAGATATTATTATCTCTTTTACAGATAGGAAATAGGGGCACAGATAGGTTAACAGTCTTTCCCAACTCACACAACTAGTGTTAAAGCAAGGATTCTAGACCAGGACATCTGACTCCAAAATCCACGCTCTGAAACTACTGCCTCATACTGAATAAGACGACACGCCAGAGTGTGGGGATTAAGAAATGAATACTTTGGGTCCTTGCTCTCCCGGGGCCTATGGTCTAGGAAGCCCAGGAAGATCTGCACCCCGAAACCCCACATGGAAAACTGACTGTTCCTGTGGAGAACATGTCCTGACCACATCTTGAATTTATTGGGCACTTCACATAATCTAGCCAATTGTCCCCAAAATATATTCAACCAGAGTGCTTATCAGAAACACCTGAGGAGCTTTTCAAACCCACAAAGCCTGACACCAGCCCTAGTCTAAATCACAGTCTCTGTGGGTGGAACATAGGCATGCACATATTTTTAAAAGGTTCTCAGGTGACTTGGTTAAGAACCACTGCCAAAACCCATTAACATAGCTTGGGAACTCCAATATTTTGGCACCCAACTATACCTCCCAGCCTGCCTTCTATACCCCAGTTCTTCAGAAGCTGATGTTGGATTCAAAATATATGCTCGCCTTCATTATGATACCAAACAGTTTTAGATTCTGAGTCACCTGACCTTAGGGATAGCAGTAACAAGTTATGAGCTCCATTAACATAGTGAGAAAACTCAGCACCACCCCACGCACAGACATTGTAGATAATGGGAAATTGTTTTCTGTTCCCTGAGCGCCACAGACTCAAGCTGAGCTGGGTTTTGGATCAACCACTTTCACTCACACAGGTATTCTCCTTGGTTGAGGTTAGCCCAAGGATTGTCAGGGGCAGAGTAAAGAGAATACGGTGAGGCTAACACTAAATAAGGTCACCATGCTCAGCTGTACAAGATGTGCATTGTGCACAAGCATCAGGCTGAGGAGGGAACTGAGAGCCGACACCCAGCCAGCACACCATGTGTAAAGCCATGGGCCCCTTGTTGCGCCTTGTGTGCTATGGAGGGCCTGGCCTACCACTCTCTCAGCCTCTGCTTCCCAAAGCCCCACTGGGTCCAGAGATGCAGCCCCACAGGAAACTCTGGTGTACATGCCTCCATGATGACTTTCTATTTTTTATGTTCCCTAGCTCCCTCGCATAGGAGCACCAGAGAAGAAACAAAGTCTTCAGAAGAATCACATTTATCATCTTTATTCAAAATTACAAAAATAGATATAAATAAAAATAGCAGAATATAATTATTAAATATTCAGTGTACAGGAGTGGTTCTCCCCCCACATAGTGAGGAGTGCTTGGACTTGGCTGGAAGATCAGAAGGGATAACTGGCCAAGAGTGTGAAAGTGAAACTGGAATTTTATTGCTGGTCATGGGCCATGCCCCAGAATGACACAACCATAGGCATCATCATATGAGAGACCCAAGGGCCCCAGGAATGACCCATGACCTCTCCTGACAGACACTTCTATGTGACATCATAGTCCATAGAGTTTAGAGAAATATCCAGACTTTCAGTCAGATGCAGGAGCACCAGCTCTTACTCACACTGACTACTCATAGCCTGTGCACAAGTGTGCAAACATATATGTGCATATATAATATTTCCTGATACATTCACGGAATGTCAGAGCCCTTCCCTCAAGGTATTAGTGTCCCTACTCCCCAAACCACTGTTCCCACATTGGCCAAGCTCCCTCAAGAGACTTCAGTTCTGTTACACTTCCTAATTGGGAAATTATTCATTTCCCAACAGTACGCCAGCTGTTGGGGAAGCTGCCTCTTCTTCCCATGCATAGGAGATGCCATTTGTATCTCCAGGAGACTTTAATCCAGAGAAAGACAAACCACTGGTCAGTACCATCCTGGATCAGGACCACCCCTCCATCCTGGCCAGAGGGGATCTGAGCGCCCAGCACCCAGGCTTATAACTGAGGGTAAAGCCATTGCTGCTCACCCTGATGGGCAGCACAAGCAAAACCATTTCTGCAGAGCCTATCTTCTTCCATCTCTTCCTTACGTATAGCCAGGGCAGATGGGCCTACTGCAAAAACGATGGTCACCATGGGAGTGGGTGGCTCCCTAGGGGCCATTTACAGGACAAGGCTATTCTCTTCCTGGGTGTTAGTACGGATCCAGGACAGGAAGCGTGAGACCCTTGTGTAGACACCAGGCTTGTCCTTCATGGCACAGTCACGGCCCCAGCTCACGATCCCAGTCAGAGTCAGGCGGCCTTCGATGGAGCAGACCAGGGGTCCCCCTGAGTCTCCCTGTTAAGCCAAAGACACAAAAGGTGAGCCCTGGAGGAAGTTAGGAGGGGGCCACCAGATCCTACCACCCAGTCATGCCCAAGAGAGAAGGGAGAGTGTTCCAGAGTCAGAGTCCTTAGTGACTACCATGTCCCACCACACCAAGTTTAAAATCCTCTGCTTGGCTTTCAAGGCCCTATTTCCTGCCACCATTCCACCTGCATTCTCCAGCCCTTCCTCTCCTCCCATCCTGGAATATTCTGCCCTCGTTCTCATGTTTATATCTTGAAACGGAAATGCTCTTCTTTCTTTCCTTTGCCTCCTTGAATCCCTACTGAGTCTCAATATCTTTAGAGCTTCCCCCCCGTGACCATCTAGTTGGCACTCACCACCTTCTCCTCAATATCTGATCGTTTATAATTCACACCACACCCAGAACACTGAGCTGTATTATTTTCTATTGTTTCTTCTTACTCCCCTCTCTCCCTCAGTCTGAAGTGCCTACCCCCAAGACAGGTTGATGACAAATGTTTGGTAAAGATGTAAGGACTGGTTTAAACATTATAAAACTTGAGCTCTTGATTCTGGCTTCTTGGGGTTTTGGCTGGTGAGAGGCTCCCCAAAGCTGGCAGAGGCATGCCCAGGAGCCCTGGAGAGGTGCGGGTGATGGAGAGAGATGCTTAGAACTCTCACCTGGCAAGAATCTGTTTTCCACTGTGGGTCAGCAGCACATAGCATTTTGTCGGTGACTTCAGAGCCGTAGTAGTGGGGCTGCTGACACTTCTCGTGGGAAACCAACTTCACAACAGTCATTTTCAGCCGCTCTGGATAGACATAGTCATCTGGATGGAAGACACATGAAAGAATTTATGTCAAGATGTGTCTGTCCCACTTGGGACTTCTGTCCCAAGAAGCCTTCCCACTGGGATTCTCTGCCAGGGAGGGGACCAAAAAGTATTCCTACAAGGGAAAGTCTCTATTCTTTTTCTGCCCAAATCTGAGTTTTTACACCAGCCATAGCCCCTCACCCTCCAACTATGTACCTTTATGGTTCACCGTTCCCTGAAACATGCTCCCGATTCCATCCCTGGACCCACCTATCTCCACAGTCCTCCTTAATCAAGCTGAGCTCAACTCCAGGTGACAAGACTCCCCCAGGACCCTGTCAGCCAGCCCCAAAGGTCACTTACTGGTATTCTCTTTTCCAAAGCCAGTGATCTCACAGCTTGTGCCAAAACTAGGATCGTGAGACTCTGGGGGCAAGCAGATGGTCTGAATGGACCGGGACGGCTGTGCGCACTGGCTCGTGTTGGAACTGATCTTCAGCAAGGCTAGGGGAAAAGGAAGACAACAGAAGAGAAAGATCACCACCTGGTGAGGCGGTCACCATCTCTGCCCTCCAAATGCTGAGGGAGCAGCTGTCTATCCCTAGGTCACTTAGGGTCAGAGGTCATTCTGGGAGGGTGTTGGTTGTATGAAACCAGCCTCCCCTATACCATGCCTCATGGGCTTTGTTCCTGCTACTGACAAAGGCTTGGACAGCCAGGGCTAGTGCATACAGCTGTACGAGGTTTTTTCCTACAAAAAGCCCTGGCCGAGGTAGCTGGACTGAAATCCAGCCCAATGCTCTCTCAAAGGTCTGTATCCTGGAACAGACAGGGCCTGCATCTAACAAAGAAAGGATCATCCCAGGCCAACTATCTGCCCATAGGGCCACTGCCACCCAGAGAAGGCCACCTGTTTGAAAATTCAGGGACTTTACATGGGAGCACCCAGCCCCTCATATATGTATGTCACCCGAACCCTTCCCCACTTCCCTCTTTGTTGTGTAAAGTAGGGTCTTCAAGTTCCCCTCCAACCACAATCCCACTCCCACTTGAGTGTCTTTGAACACCTCCTCTCCTGGTCATCGTGGTGATGGCCGATAAGGGGTTTCCACTCACCTATATCATTGTGGTGAGCAAGTCCATCAGCGCTATAGCCCTCATGCAAGATGAGCTTTTTCACCTCAAACTTCATCTCCCCAGGTGTAACGGAGTTCAGACGTGACCGACCCAGGTAGACAATGTAGTCCTTCCTTGTATCACCACTGTGGGAAGGGAGACCTGTCAGATAGTCTGATCTCATGAGATCCTGTCACTTCCTCCTCCCCACCACAGTGACCTCAGAGCATGACTTGTCTCTAAGGCTAGGGGCTGCATGGAAGGGGTGAAAGGGTAGAATTAAAGTGGAATCCTTTTATGGGAAGGAGAAAAGGAGGTATTTGGGGGGTAGGGCAGGAGAGTCAGGGAGAAGAGACAGAGGGACATACAAGAAGCAGTGTGTGGCGCTGGCCACCCAGCAAGGACTGATGAGGCTGCCACCGCACAGGTAGGTCACAGAACCTCCACGGTGCTTCTTATAGATGGCTGCAAACCAAGGCTGGTCCTCGATGTTGGTGAATTCTCCTCCGACAATCTTAAAGCGGGGCCTCAGAGCCTTCTGGCCACACTGAAACTCTTTTTCAGGTGGAGAATAAGTACCTTTTTCTGGAGGACAAAGAGAGGGATGTCTTAGGGAGATAGGTAAAATAAAGTGTCCCTCTCCTCATCCTCTGACCTCCTGGTTTTGAGGGCCAGAGAGGCCTCCATCCTCACCCCTCCTCTGATGGAATAAAAGGACTTATGAGTTTGTCACCTTTCACCAACTGTCATAAACAGGTTGGTGACACTCACCAACAGAGCAGTCTTGCACCCGACACTGTTGGACAAGCTGCTTTAGGCCAACCTGCACGTAGCACCAGGGCTTTCTCTGGTTGTCTGGGTTCCTGGCAACAGAGAGGGAAGAGGAATGTCATTTCAACATAAATGTCTTTCCTTCATCCTCCCCCGCAAGAAAGGCAACCAGAGGCCTTGCCTTCCTCACGTTATGGCCAGCAGCCTGGGAGCCGAAGGGACTGTGAGGTCACGGGGAAGGCCTTTGCTGCCCCCACCTCACCTGCAGTAATTGTGTTTCCCCAGGCCCAGCTGAAGAGCATCAGGTCTCTGGGCATGGTACGTTTTCTGAAGGACATTGGCAGAGCTCCAGGCCAGGCAGGGTCGGCCGAGGCTGTCGGTGTTGGCCTTCCCTCGGTAGGAGTGACCGTTTCCCTGATAGCAGGTTTTCGATGTATCTATGGAAAGATGTGAGGATGAGAGAACATGAGAAAGAGGAGGAAGTTCAGACAGACATTTTAGAGATGCTGCTAGGCCTTGCATGTCTTCAGGCCTGGCAGCAGATGCTGGAAGGGGTCTCTTTCCATCGTTTGATGAGCCGCAGCTTCACGAGACAGTGTGTTTATGCGTTTGACTGTGTATATCATATCGCATAGGGATGGTGCCCCCACTCCACTGCCAGTTCCTAACCCCGACATGCCCTTGCTTCCCACTCATCTCCCCCTGCCCCCAGATCTCTGGTGCCCCCTCCTCCCAGTTAGAGCCGGGATCCCCATACCTATCTCACAGTGTTCCCCCTGGAATTTCCTTGGGCAGCTGCATCGCTTAATGTTGGAGAAGTACTTGTAGGATACGCATGTACCTCCATTCAGACAGCTGCATTTAGCTGAAAAGCACAAAGTTGGGGGTAGGTAAGCAATGAGCAGGAGAGGAGAAGGTAAGGGAGGGGCCAGCCCTGCCTTAGGGACAGGGAAGGGCTGCCTCCTGGGGCTTCTCCAAGATGTCTTTGCAGCCAGATATTGTGCAAGGGGTGGATACTCACATGCACCAGACACTGGATGAAGGTCATGGCTGTCCTGGAAAAGAGAGGGGGATGGGGAAAGTTCACCAAAGGTCCTATGTCCCTGGGGCTCCAGGGTGTGGATAAACTGGCCCCAATCCCACCCTTCCCTACAGCTGCCTCTCTCCTTACTCTGACCACATCTAACTTCCCTCAAATGGAAGATCACAGGTTTCCAGAGAGGAGAAATGGATTGACTCAAGCAAGCTTCACATATCAAGTGCCAGGAGGCTGTGGCAATTCCTAGGCCTTTTTCCTCCTTTGCCTGCAAATGCGAACTCCCCCCTGGTTCTCAAGGTCTCCACTGCCACACCTGTCCCATTTCTCCGAGGGCCTGGCCCTGCTGGGATGGGACCCAGGGTGCTTCGGCTCCCTCTGCGGCTCCTTGCCTTCCCCTGGTGCTATTCGTGGGTCCTGCAAGCCTCCTCCCACCGCTACAGGTCAAAGCAGGGAAGTCTCTCACTTCGCAGTTGCTACCAAACAGGAACCAGAGGAGCAGGCACGCCTGGGGGACTCTCATGGTGTCGAGGCTGGGTTTCTAGACAGCGACCCTGCAAGGGAAGGAGAAGTCAGGGAAAGAGGGGGAGGAGCGAGAAGGCGAACCGGGTGGGTTACTGCAGTTCAGGGCAGACCCTAGGGGTCACCTGAGAGGCGAGCCCGCGGTCGTCTTTCCTCGCTGGGATTCAGGGGTCTCTGCATAGCCTGGACCCGCACCCGCAGGGAAACGCAGGGGCACGCGGAGCAGGAACCCGGCGCGCAGCCGCTGCCGGGCACGGGCAGCTGCCGGGCAGGGGCAGCCGGGGCTGGGGGAAGGGAAGCCCGAAGGAGTGGGGGCTGCTGCGCATCCACCCACCGCTCCTAACGTGGCCTGCACTCACCGGCAGCTGCGGCGGGAGGGGCGCGAGAACAGGACCTGGAGGATAGGTTGCCACCCTGAAACAGCTGGGCTTTGCGGCTCCAACCTTCCCGCTGTGCTGCAAGCCCGAGGCGCGGGCTGTATATTAAGTCCCGCCTAGGCCCTGGCCCCGCCCTGGCCCGGGATCGCCGGGTCCACCCCCTTTCCTCCAGTCCCCTAGGTAGTGCCGCGACCTGGACCCTGCGTGTTTCCTCATCTGTGACTGAGAATGAGGAGCAGCGTGGTCTCCGGCAGAGGGTACTAATGAGGTCTGGACTGAGAGGTAGAGGCATCTAAATCCCCCGCCCCTCCTCCCATTCACCTGTCCTGGATCTCTCCCAGTGCAGACCACCCATCCACCTGCACACCCAATTACGGAGAGAGTCACTCCAGAGACTCTCTCCCCTGTCCCAGCTCTGATGCCTCCCCCCAGGTCCCCTAAATCCAACGTCTCACCCTCCACCCCCAACTGCTTAGGAGAATGAATGAGAACCCTGGGTATAGGGGCACAGTCCACAGCTCACATAGCTGTGAAGTCTTTTTCTCAGCATGAAAATGCATGCGGCACATGCTCGCTGAAAACAAAGACAAAAAAAAAAAAAAAACAGCTAACGGGGGCTGTTTATTTCGGATGCTGGATCTTCCAAAATCATCAGTACAACCAGTGGATGAGACAAAACTGAGATAATTGCTTGTCAAGGTAAGGGAGTTTGGTAGTGGTTGGGGAAGAGGGGGAAGCACAGTCGGAGTTTATTGAGAATTTGCAGTTTGGCTTAAGGGCAGTCTTTGAAAGTGAGAGCTTGATAAGGACTAGATAAGGGTCCTGATGCAGTGTTGTGGAATTGTGAGAACAAAGTCTTAGGGCACAAACTGCTGATGCTTTCTATTGAAGTGTTGACGGGTCTTTCAGGACGTTCCTGTAATGAATGACTCACTCATTTATTGGCCTGGGCCAGAATATAGTTTGTTAATACAGACAGTGAAATAGTAAAGCCTTGCTAATGTAGAGAGAAAGCTGTAGAGGGGTAGGAAGTTCTGTTTTCACCTCTGAGGAGAACAACTGGGGAACTGGAAGACAAGAACGAGTAGATTTATTTTACACTGTTCAAGTTTTTAAAAACATCTTTGTACCATCCATTCTGAGAAGATAATTATGGCTTTTAAGTGCATGTTTATTTAGTGTTCTATTTCATCACGGGGCACCGTCTCTAATGAGATAAAATTATTGCTTATCAAATAAGACTGAGCTCCAGTAAGACTGGCCGCACAAAAAGGATGCAAATGCTCTTCTTGTCCAAGGGCAAGGCCAACAGTTGTGCAGCACACGTACACACGCACATGTGCCATATCCCATGGCAGAGGTGAAGGAGCACAGTAGGGACTCTGCGGTTCACTCCCCCTACCCTCTCCCTTAGTGTTGGGAACCTGGGCCTGGGGTCACTTGGATTCCATCCACCAGGACTCTGTCCTCTGATGAGAGGGGAGAGGTCTGAGTCTCTGTTATTCACTAGGGGCCCAAACCCAGGCTTGGTCCTCCTCCCTGCCGAGGCCTAATGCATTTTGCTGCCTGGCAACCCTGGGCCTTGAATTTGGGTCCACTTGAGAGGGACAGGAAGAGGAGGGCAGGGAGAGTGTCAGGGTGGTAGGAAGGAAGAAAATCTCTGTCCTGTTCCAGCCAGAGGGCTCAGGTTGCCAGCCTCTGCGTAGGGAAAGTGTAAGTTAACCATCCACTTTAGGGAGGCAGGTGACCCATTGCTCTCCAGAGTGAGTTTTTCATGCCTGGCTAATTAGCTGCCAGCCTCCCAGGGGATGGACTGAGTCAGAGGTGCTATAGGTCTCAGAGCAGCCTCACTACTTCCTCTAGAAGACCATGGCATGCTTTGTTTGGATTTAGAATCCATTAATTGTAAATAAACGTGATCAAAATGTAAACAGAGGTGTTGCAGCCTTAGGACTTACCCCGAAACTCCTAGGTTAGTTACCAGGAAATTCCCAGCAGACTGTCATGATTCACAGAGCTCCCAGCAGCTCTCATGACTCCGAATTACTTGGCTGGAGGCTGTCATGCTGATTTTGAAGGGCAGGGTGACCTCATTTCCTCCCCAACAAAGGCTTGCAGACCGTTATGCAGCGTGACACCCCTCTCCTTCCTCCTTCCCTCTGTGGCCTCTTCACCTGGTTGAAAAGTCCTACAGCCTCAGAACTTTTCACAGAACTTCCTTTCCACTCTGTGAGGCTTGCTGCTCTGTGAAATCTCTGTCCATCTTTTGGTGCATAGTCCGTTGCTAGTCTTTCAGTTCTTTGAGGGCAGAGACCATGTACATCTTAGCTATCTTTGTCTAACCCCGCCCCCCTTTGTGCATCCCTAGTTCATGTAGGTGCTTATTATGAATGAATCGCTGAACAAGTGGGAACAGAGAACTTTGGGGCACACTGGACGTTTCCCTCCTCTCTTTTTTATTTTTTTCTTGCCATAAAAAATAGTACTGGCATTGCTTCTGTCTTGTGCTAAAGAGCACTTCAGTATAACTCCTTCTTTAAACTCACAATTGCCTTGTGATATAGTTGGGAATCATTATTCCCATTTTGCAGATGAGGAAAATGAAGTGGAGAGAAGATACATAGTTGGGGAGTAGCAAAGCCAGCACTAGAATCCAGGATTTCTGATCCTTGTTCCTGTGCCCTACTCCTCCCTTCCTCCATGAGAGAGGGGTCTGAGGCAGATGCTGTGAGGAGAGGGGCCAGGCGATGGGAAATGCTGCAGCTTGCAGGGGAGCTCTGTTGCTGGCTCTGGAGCTCTCCTTCCAGAAAAACGCCTCGGAGTGTGGACTCCGAGATCCTGTAAAGCCCTTGATGTGTGTAATATGAGTTAGTTGCTTGCCAGAGTTCCAGGAACTAACTTGGTGATCTGGGCTCTCTGAAGTTTCTGTCAAGAGTGAGAGAATAAGGAACTGAATATGTGTGACTTCATTCTGCTCCTGACTCCCAGGGTACAGGCATCAGCCCCCTGCCTCTGTGTCTCAGGGGTCCAGACCTCCTGAGTCAGATGTGGTAGCAGAGATGGAGGGGCCACCTTTCCTGGAGCTGCTTATAAAAGAACAGGCAGATGCCAAGTATTCAAGGAGGACCAGGATGTCCGAACTTAGCCCTGAGACTGTGTCCAGGAAACTGGGCCCCTGAAGGGCTATTTTCTGACCAGCATGACCCACAAAGAAGTTCATGTCGAGTCTCAAGATGTATTCCTGGGTTGCTATCCCAAGAATGTTTAGCACGGTGTTATAGAGAGACTAGCCTCTGGTCTGCCCTGTCCAAGTTGAATGACCTTAGGCAAGAGCTCCCCACCCACAAAATGAGGCAAGGCCTGCCCTGCCCGTGCTTCTCTTTGCAGACTTAATGAGATAACACTTGTGTGGTGAAAGCATCTCTTCATTCCTTTTTTCACTCACTCAGTATTTATCATGGACCTACTATGTGCCGGGCACAGTTCTAGATGCTAGAGATAGAAGGCTGAAGTTGTAAACTGTAATTCCTACCCCACGGTGTCTGCCTGCCTTGCATACCTGACTATGGCTGTACTGACCCAGAAGACCAGGGCATTCTCTGGAGTCCATCCCAGGATTCCAGTTAAGTGGGGACACTGTGTCCTTAACAAACAGTTCCCAGCAACTGGCCAACTGCTTGTGCTGCTTGCCCCCACAGCCTCGACTCCTACTCCCTCCTTTCCCTTCTCTGTGGCCGCAGCTCTTCTCTTTCTTGCCTACACCTGGGGCAGGCAGACTCCTCTGCAGTTCTAGATGGAGGCACTGAATGCTGGTCACATCGCTTCCTCGGGTCTGAGGACTCCTTCTCCCTGAGTGTTCAGCACTCAGCGGGAAGAGGCTGCTCTCACAGGAGGCACTGAAAGCCAGGACTGGGCCTGTAACATGATAGGGAAACTGCTGAAGCCGCTAGGCCCCCAGTGGCTGAGGAAAGAACGGGGCTGGGGAAGCCACATACTTGCCTCCTTACTCATGGAAAGCAAAGAGCCCAGGGGCTACACCCTGAGGTTATACTAGTCAGTAGCACGGTGAATGGTGCACAGGGGAGCCAAGTTGTTTCCTCTAGCTTTAGCCTATGCCCTCCTACCCTTCCTCGCCCTTTCCTCCGTCACCATCTCTGACCCACCCAGGCCAGTCAGCTCAGAACACTGCATGGATATTTTGAGACTTGGCCAAATGTTTCCATTTCCCCATCCTAAACCCATTTACTTCTTAAGTCAGGAACTTAATTCCTTAAAGGGATGTCTGCCATTGATTTCCAGACTTCTGGATTCTGAGTCCCCACCAGGGCCCAAAGCTGGGCCCAGGAAGGCCCTAGAACTTCAGCTTAGAGCCCAGGTTATCATGTAGGATGGCAATGGCTGCTTACGTGGAAGCTAAAGGAGGTGCCCAGAAACAAAGAGCTAGGATGGGAAACCAGAAACTGGTGGGTTTGCTGAAAACTGCCAAGAAGTCAAGGACATTTAAGGAAATATGTTCAGCCAGGAGCTAGTATGCTCAAAAAGTTGTTCATAAGAAAACCAACCTAACATTCACAGTCTACGTGATGTATAATTTCATGTGTTCCTACCTCTCCCAAGCTGGATTCTATACGCTCCTCTGTCTTCAAAGTACAAGCACCTCCCTTTCAATTACACAGCGAGGAAAAGAGAGGGCTAATAAAGGGAAGTGAATCATCTGAGTTCATTCACTGAAAATGATGAGATTCAGAATTCACCGATTTTGAGGAACCTCATGACACATTTCCACCCTCTCTCCTCCTATTCTGAATCCTCACTACTCCCTTCCTGACCACTCTTAATCCCCACCCTCAGACTCTTTGTCTTCCTACTTCCTACTTCCTACCCGCCTGCAGAAAGTGCTTCTCTACTCCAACGGGTGACTGATAGCAGTGTGATGAGGCAACCAGGTCCTGGGGAGAGGTCAGTCTCCTTTCTGAAGGTATCACAGAACAAAGTGGATGGAAGTCTGTGGGAATCAGGAGCAGGGAGGCCCTGAGACAGGTGTGCATGCAGAGTGAGTGGAAGGAGCAGTATGTAGATAAACCAACCAGGAGGCTCCTGGTTACTTTGA